GTTTTTAGAATTTTTTTTGTCAATTTTTTTTTTTTTTTTTTTTTTTTTTTTTGTACCAGGGATCGAACTTGGGACCTTGTGCTTGCAAGGTAGGCGGCAGAACCACTGAGCTACATCCCCGGCCCTGTGTACAAGGTTTTGTTTGAACACCTGTTTGTAATTAGTGGATTCATAATTTCCCATTGGGGTGATAAAAATGTCTCGGAACTAGATAGAGGCAATGGTTGCACAGCAGGGCCAATGCACTAAATGTCACTTTAAAGTGGTTAATTTTATATTATGTGAATTTTAGCTTAATAAAACATGACAACGAGAGAATGGGAACCACTAGCACAGCATCGACCATATTTTGTTCACCTGTGCTTATGCAGCCCAGCACTGGCCATGGCAAGTGGGTGTTGGCTGATGTCACAATCATCGCCGAGACGTAGACCCCCCAGCTTCGACCGCAGAGTTCTCTGCACAGCGGCAGTGGCTTTCACTTTCTGGTGTCATCTATGGCTCTCTGTGAAGGTCTGCGGTGACCTCTCAGCATTCTGGGTCGTGACCAGCAGGACGCATTGCTTTGAAGTCCAAGAACTCTTCCTGCTTTTTGGGGGAGGACGCACTTCCCTGCCTGTCAGGGCACAGCCTGCCACCACTGAGGGCCAGTGTTCAGGACCAACACAGAGTGAGCCGTCAGCAGTCACCCACCAATTAATTACTCATCACAGCAAAGCTATTTCAACAGATTACTCGACAAACTTTGCCTCCTCAATGAGCGGGGTCCTGTATTTCCCTTACGCTCTGCTGGCTAGGCTGCGATGCCCTGAAACGGATCGTTTGGTTTTGTGATGCCTACACCCATTTCCTCAAGGCCCCCCGGGGGTGTTAGGTTGGTGTTCCAGATGAAATCAGATGCCCGCAGATGCCACATTGGTTTTTGAGGATTTCCTGAGGTCCCTGCAGAAAATGAGAGGCGCTTCAGGATGTCGCGGGTCAGGAAAGTATCTTATGGCACAGCGCTGATGGATAAACTGTGCTTGGCCTTAAGGCTGATTTCCAATGACTTCTTCTTTTTCTTGTCCTTTCCGGCTGTTCTCCGTCCTCGGGCCCAGGCGTTCTCTCCAACCTTCACCAAACTCATTTGGGTCCCACAGCACACAGGGCCCTCAGCAGGACCCTTGTCTCCGGCTTCTGCTCGGGTTTCCCCAGGTAGCAGGTAAGATGAGGTGAATGAGGAAGAGGGAGGTGAGGGGCCGGGGTATTTCTTCCTTTGCCTGCCGGGCAGAGTCCACATTCCTCCCCAGGACACTTCTGCGGGGCCCCTCAATCTGCCCCAACTCCATGGTCCAAAGTAACACTCATGCCTCCCCTTGCTCTTCCTACAGGGCCTGGCAACTGCTCCCCGTCCCTCATCCCTGGCTACTTCACTCTCCCTTGGTGGTGATTTAAAATGTGTCCATTAAGAGTTCCTTTATTTATCTTGGAAATCCCACCTGCAGTACTTCTGTTTCCTGCTGGGGCCCGGACTGACACATCTTCACCTCCATTGCCCCTGGGGTCTGACCGGGAGGAAATCCAGAGACAGTTCTGATGGGTAAGGGTATGGAGTGTCCAAGCAAAATTATCCTAAATCACCACCCTCGTCTTTACTGATAAACCTGCGAGCATCCAGTGTGCATCGAGGGTTTAACGGTCCTGAGTGCCCAGTGGAAAGGGATTATCCTCATCACTTAGAGGGGGTGAGGTCTAGAAACAGACTGAATCATTTACTCCAGGTTACAGGGTGAATAAATAGCAATGGCTGGATTCGAACCCAGCATGGGTGGGCTTCTAAATCTCTTCTGCTGGCACCGGCTGGCTACAACAGCTACAGCCTCAGCCAGGTCGAGAGAGCACAGCTTGGGAGGCATTTCCTGGGAGCAACCTCACTTTTCTGCCTCAATTCCTCAAGAGGCCCCGAGCCTGCTCAACTGCTGACAGCGGAACTGTCGCCTGCTCCCTGCTCAATGCCCCTGATGTGACGAGCACCTCCAAGGAGGGATGGATGGGGACGCTAAACAGCCGTAAATGACATTGTCACCAGTCTTCATAAAGCACAGTGACTCACAGCCCTCATTAAAGTGCTGAAGGCAAATGTAAAGAAAGACTGGCATGGAAAGCAGTGACATTCTGCTAAACTACAGGATTGTTTCTTCCAGGAAAGGTGTGTGTGTGTGGGGATCATGTGTGTGTGTGTGTGTGTGTGTGTGTGTGTGTGTGTGTGTACATGGTAGGGCAGGCTAAGGCTGAATATCAGTCTCCTAAGAAACTTGGAAAAATTTAATCCAGTGGAGGATCTAATTAAAATCACTCCTGCCACCAACTTTTTATTCCAAATACATCTATTTAAACACAGAAAATTTAAAAGCACGGTACAAAAACACCTTTAAACGTTCAAGTAGATTCAACAACTATTAACATTTACATATTTGCCCATCTATCATTTATCTGTCTATTCATGTATCTGTCATCTATTTATATACTCATCTGTCGTCTATCTGTACATCCATCTGTTTGATTGTCTGTCCTTACAATGAGCCACTTTAAAATAAATTGCGGACATCATGATGCTTTAGCCCAAAATTCCTAGGCATAGGTATCCTAGGAACAAAGACTGTATTCCCAAGAAACCATAATACCATTATCACACTTTAGAAAATTAACTATACTTATAAAAAAATCTCAAGGACAACAACAGTCTAAGTGGGAAACTGAATCTCCAATGGTTGACAGAGGAGTAGCTTGCCTCCTAGGGACAAGGCAGGCATGGGGTCTGGAACAGGAAGATTTTTGGCTTTATTTTTGCCTAGTTCCTGCCATCCAGATCTCAAGACAGTATATGATGCTTGCCTCTGAGCAGGTTTAAGTCAAATAAATTCAGCCTCCCTACACCAAAAATAAATTTTTTTTTGGTACCAGGGATCGAACTTGGGAACTTGGGACCTTGCATTTGCAAGGCAGGCGGCGGAACCATTGAGCTAAATCCTTGGCCCATGTATTTAAACACAAAATATCCACATTTCATCCTGTATCACCCTCTTTAATGGAACAGACAGTGTGGCTCCCGGTGACCTCTTGCTGTTTCTGAAATCCAAAGGCAACCCAAAAGCCAACAAGATAACACTCTCCTAAGAAGATTCAGTAAGAAACAGACTTTCCAAAGGTGAGTCTTGAGGCATGCACCCCAAGAAATCCAGGCATGGAAGGCAGCTAGTGGAGAAACACTGCTCTACACAGGAGATTTGCATGTTTGTTAAAAAGAGAACCAAAACCAATAAGAATTTCTGCTAAAGAAACTCATCACATCCCATTCATTCCCACCATGCCTTGTAAGAAATGAGGGCCTCATCTCTGTGAACATAGTATTAGGGAAGACAGGACAGGTGGAAGCATCTCCAGCTAAGACATTCTTTTCCCTGTGCTGCAGACAGAATCAGGGCCTCTCACAAGCTAAGCAAGTGCTCTAGCGCTGTTACATTCCTAGCCTTACTTATTTTTATTTTGAGACAGGCTCTCACTAAGTTGCTCAAGCTGGCCTCAAACTTACCACCCTCCTGCCTCAGTCTTCTGAGTAGCTAGGACTATCGGTGTGCACCAATGGGCCCAGCTCCAGCTAAGGCTTAATAAAGAAGTATCTAAATATCATTACCTGAATAGCGTGTGTAATAATCGATTACTCCATTCATTACCTGGATACTGGTGTAAGAACATAATTGGTCTTCAGTTTCCTTATTGAATATTTCAGAGCTTGGCGACAGCTTCAAAACTCAGAAGAAAATATATGCCTGCCATATATCAGCTGCTATTGAGTACTGTTCTGACCAATCCTCATAGGTCACACTTTCATGCTTAAAGTTCCTGGAATGAAACACAGTCCTAAGCGAGCCAGGTGGCTGTTCTAATGACTCAGGATGGACTGCCCACATCATGTACCTCCCTCATTGTACTTCCTGGTAAGTTGATACCTTTTTCACTGCCACTGTGAGTTACTAGAAGGTTGGAATTGTCTTCCCCCTTCTTTGTGCTTCCCAGACTCTTTGGGATCTGGCCCAAAGCGGGGAGAGCAGGGCTCGTTCCTTAAATGAAGAAATAGCTGATCTCCCTCTTCTTGTTTATGATGAGAGATCAAAATCTAGCCGAGAAAGGATGGCTGCTCGTTGGGACTACCTGAAGTTGAAAAGCTTTTGGAATTCACAGGATCCCTTTCCTTTCCAACTGTAAATGGGTTCCAGAAAGGCCCACCTTTTTAATTCCCGTGGTAACAACTTAGCTGTCAGGTTCTGAATAAAGAGGAGATCCCTGAGTACTATTTCATCCTGGGCAATGTTGGGCAAATGTTCCCGGCAGAAGCTGAGATGCCTCCAGAGCACCTCTGAAAACCTGGGAAGTTTCTTTTAGGTGCTTGTTAGTTCCAAACTGCTGAAGCCTCGTGGGTGGCCAATACTACAGGTCCACTGTCCCCAGAAACCCACAAATGAGAAGAGGTGATGTTATAGTAAGGAATACAACACACAGATGAGAGGTGGGGAAAAGGGTACCTCCCCCGGCTGGAAGTGGAACCCCGTAGCTTGCAAAGAGCTTCTGTGTTTCCATCTGAACGGGACCACCTTTCTTCTGCACCTTCTGATGCACTATGATTGGGTAACTGTTTTCCTCAGGTGAGGGACAGAATATGGAAGCCGGAAAGGTTTTTGAAAGTAGTTAGTCTGGGAGTTGTAACTGAAATGCCTCCCCGGGCCAGGCAGGTAAGATAAACAAGAGTTAACAGTGCAGATGTGAGCTACAGGCGAGAAACAAAACAACAAAACAAACAAAACAACAAACCAAGCCAGAATGAAACAAACAACACCCAAACCCTTCTCTTCCCACGCCTGTGAAAAAAATCCAAACCAACAAAGAAGAAACCCTGTGCAAACCTAACAGAGCATCCCTGCAGGCCTCCGATAGAGATGCCCTTGAGTCACAACCCTTCCCCATTTCCCAGATCAGAAAAGCGAGGCTGAGCTCTTAGAGGAAGCGCCTGTGCCAACTGGCCAATTAAAGGGCTTTTTTTTTTTCATTGCTTTTCTCTGTCAGGATCATTGAATGGGCCTGATGTTGTCCCTTTGCCAGATTCACCAACACACTATCCTGGTGATCCTCCTAATAGTCCGGTGCAGTACATATAATCTCTCTTGCCCAGATGACATGCTGAAGGGTCAGAGGGATAAGTCTACCCCAGTCTCACTGAGCCCGTGGATGCCCAGGCCCAACCTCATCCTTTGAAAATTTCAATGTGATGCACTCAGTGCTTCAACTACACTTTCAACCTGGCTACCATGGCCTCAGCATGGCTCTGGGGTCCTTGTTGTTGAGAGAGAGGCGCAAATCAGGCTCCGGGCTCCAACGCCACCCCTCTGAGAAGTCTCTCCTGAATCCCATAGTTACCCCTCTTGGGGCCAGCAACAGCATGTCACCTCTTCTTCTCTCCCCAGAAACGTGTGCCCGCTTCAGGGCTCCTACCTAGTCAGACTGCAGCTTCATCAGAGGGGGCTCATAGCAACCTAACCTGGACCCCTGCCCTTGGGGCCTGGCCCTGGACTTGCCACCTAACGCTCACCCTGCCACACGTGACAGGTGCGCCGATGCCTGCAGAGCTACCCATGATAACTTCAGTCCTCTGGGGCTTATCTATACTAAACACAATTATGCCAAGACCCACACCCGCTGTACCATTACCAATGCTCACACTGGGGACTTAGGGGCATTTTCTGTCGCTACATCATTTTTGTTGAATATATTCAAATGGGCTCAATTTCCCAGCATGGTAGGGAGCTGTTCATGACTCTGCTTCCTTAGGAATGGGAACATGAGTGACAACATACACGGGATTTACAAAGGCTGAGCAGGCTGCAGACTGCAGAAATGCGCTCTGACCAAGATCAAGGGCTTTGGTGAAACCAATGATAGTTAAACAGGGGTTATTTAGCTCCTGCAATTACTTGATTTCTGAAATTTATACCTCAAAGGTCACTTTTAAAAGGAGTTTTCTCTCTAAAGGATTAACCAGTGGAGCTAATGTCCAATATTAGCTGGAAGAGTAGGGCCAAATCTAGCAAGGTTAAGGTGGGAGGGACAATTAAGTCTTTTGCCAACTTCTAACAACAGAGATGGAATTAAAATGTCCTTTAAGCCCCGAATCTCTGCAGCTTCTTTATTCTGAAACAAACAGGAAACCATCATCAGTGAGCCCTGGACAAAAAGAGTCACGACACGGAGGATCTATTTCAGCTTCCCCTGTAGTTTGCTGTGTGAGTTTCATCAACTTGTATGTCTTTGTTGGGCCTTGGTTTCCTATTTGAAGGACGAGGGTAATGGACACAAACTGAAGGCATTAGGGTAGCCTGGAGTAGTCTTGTTAAAAGTACAGATACTCGGAGTCTCTCCCTGCGGCTGCTGATTTTGCAGACTGAGCCTGGGGCCTGGTGTCTCTGTTCCTAACTGAGCTCCTTCGTGGATTCTGATGCTGATGATCGGCTTGGGCTGATGCTTGCCATCTACCAGATCAGATGATGATCAAATGCGATAGCACACTTGATGAGGGAAACAGTCACACCTACAGCCTCCACAGCATCGGAGTTGCTAGCCACACAACCACACACCGGTCCGTGATGAGGAGCCTGCCCCTCTGCACAAACAGCCCAGAAGATAATTGGCCCTGAAATGCCAAATTCAACTTCTGCACTTTCCAGTTTCTAGAAGAAAGAGCTCCAATTCTAATGAGCACAGACTTGCCCATGGCTCACATTCCAAGACTCACCCAGCCGTGGACAGACCGAGAGAACCTGGGTGCCAGGCAAAATGCCGAGTTGGGTCCTAAGACACCCCAAACCACACATCCGAGAAGGCAGCCCCACCACATCTGCTCATGCTCCTAATACCCATGTGACCAGATCCCCAAGTCCTCAGCGCTCTGGGAAATCAGCACCTCCCAGCAGGGAGTTTTCCAACAACTGTCTGCGCAGTACCTTGGACAGCGCCGTGCAGCAGGCTGACGCCCCTGGGAGCACCCACCCACCCCACCCACC